GATCAATGTCGATGGAGTATAACCCATCGGCGCTTGCCGCTTCGTCTCTGCATGCATGAGGTCTTTCTCCCGCACTTCGGCAACTGCATGCATGATTAAATCGCGCCAGGCACGCGGATCAACCGCCTTCGATTCCCATGACCTGCAATCTAGATTAGAATGTGAGAAGCTCATTTTGATCATGTCCTGGTAACGTATCTTTGGTTCCCCCGCATGCCGCTTCCCAATACCCAATAATCGTCGTTTCGGTATCCGCGTCAAATCCATACGGCTCACATGATAGGTATTGCAGCAAAAGTGTGCAGTCCACTGCATACATTCCACTTCGGCGCAAACACTTCCGTCTCCACAACTCTGTCGCCCCATCCGGTGGGCAGAATCCGTCTCAAACACTGTTGATGGAACCGCTCGAGATATCGCACATCCCGACGGTACATCGTCTACGTTTCACTGCCGTATAGTGGTGGATCTGTACACCACCAGCTTCGTGCCAGTGGTAAGCTGATGCTTGTTCCACACGGTACTCTAGCTTCCCGAATGCCGCTGTCGCCTTCGAGACACGGATACGTAGCTCAATCGGTAGCTGCTGGTCAGTCGACATCACACTCATCCGCGCTGTGTGCAAACAACACATAGTCGTCAGCAAACAGCAACATACGGATAGTTGTCTCACAGACTAAAGTTCACGCAAGGAAACGACGGATGTTTAGCAACCCACCATCAATACGGTGCTCCACACGAACACCGTAAGCACAAGCGGCATCAAAAGCACAAGACATCATAGCATGAAAACATATATTAAACAAGACAGGAGCTAAGACACAGCCTTGCTTCACAGCAGATCTCTCCACTCAACTGCACCCTCGCCCGCATACCAATGTGCAAACATACGATTAAACTTACAAACTTACCCGGGCAACCATACTTACTCAACACCAACCCCAATGCCTCACGATTCACTGTATCAAATGCCTTGGTGAAATCAACAAAAAGCGAGTACAACGGCTGGTGTCGTTCTCTGCACTTCTTCTGCAACTGATGAGCCGTAAACACCATATCTATAGTGATGCGACCAGAAAACGGAATTCGCACTGCTCTTCCGTCACCTTAGATTCCACAACCTGACTGACGACGCCGTTGAGCAGAATTCAGGCGATCACCTTGTCCATAAAGCTCAGAAAGTTGATACCACGATAAATCGTGCAACACTGCTTGCTACCTTCGCACTTATACAGCGGTAGCACAAGGGCATCCTTCCACTCAGCAGGCACCACCTCCTCATTCCAAACGCGTTGCACCAAGTGGTGCAGCGCAGTCAACAACGCGGGTCCACCGTGTTTCAATACTTCAGGCGGGATCCCGTCGGCCCCGGCACACTTACCGTTTCGCAGCTGAGCAAGTGCTTCTGCGTCTCGTCCACTATTGCCGTGTCCGCCAAACTCGCCTACACATTCTGCTGCTTGAGGCCGTTCAATGTAGGCCAATCGATCCCTAAACAGTTGTTCAAGAGACAGCCAAAGTGTTTCCACTAGATCTGCATTATGTCTGCAGTCTGTGTGCAGGTAGTCCCTGAACTACCATCGATCAGCGTCCTCAGCGGCTCCAATCACGGTCCACACACCGCCTTCAAGGAGTCAAATAATTCCTTGTGTTGGCGGCGTTCGGCGTAGCATTCTATCTGCCTCGCCTTTCCCGTCCACCATGCATTTTTAATGTGACGGAGATCTCGGGTCAGTCGCTGTCGAATTTTGCGAAACTGACTCTTCTTCCCCAAGTCACTGGGGACTGCGATATGTGCACCAAATGCTGCATTCTTCTCCGACACCAGTGCGCCGATCGTCACGTTGTTGTCATCAAACCAATCAGGCCGCTTACAGTTTGCGCGCCCGATGGTCTTCTCGGCAGCAGCTGTCACTTGGTCGCGAATGTGGTGCCACACGTCGACCACTGTGGTTATGCAGTCTACATCACACAGGCGTGCAGCCATCGCCTTCTACAGCTCAACAGAGCAATGAGGGACAGAATGTTAAATTTACGCCGAGTCATGGCGGGAGTGTAATCCATAGATTTATGAAAATATATATACTTTGGTCCGCATCAATTTGTGATCAGTGAGACACTCAGCTCCACGCAGTACACGTGTCATGCACACTTCACGCATATCACGCTGACGTACGATGACATAGTCGAGCAGGTGACCGTGACCACTCCGTGGGTGCGTCCAAGTTGCTATATCACTCGCATTCAGTGCAAACCGAGTGTTCGTGATCGTCAGGCCGTGAGTGGCACACAGTGAGAGTAGCCTATCACCGTTCATATTCGCTGAACCAATGCCATGCGGACCGATAGCATCTGTCCACACCGATGCATCAAGCCCAACGCCAGCGTTGAAACCACTCAGTAGAAAAAGTCGGTCGCTCCTTGGCACAGACCGTATCACAGAGGATAGCTGAGTGTAGAATTGATCACGCGTGTCATCAGGATAAAACATGGTCGGACCGTATGTGCTTATGAAGGTGGCAAACTTACCACCTCTGGGTCGTAGGCGAACAGTCATCAGTCGCGCGTTGATGCCTGTTGGTTCACCCACCAGCAGGCCATGGAGGCGATTGGATATTGCAAATCCGACCCCATGATAATGTGGTGCTGAGGCGGCGTTGCCCACCCAGTAGAATGTGTAGCTAGCACCTGCATCATGCAACTTATCCTGCACTCAGCGAGCCGGGTTTCACTGAGCGTCGCAATATCGATGTGGTAGCGTGCCAGTTCCATCGCAACGAGTGCAGTGCGTCGCTCCCGGCGCTCACTCGAGTTCCGGTCCAGTAATGTGCGCACGTTCCAGCACCCGATGCTGGGTGCTTTGCGCGCATGCATACGATTGCATTGGTGGGATATCGCACGCGTCGGAGATTTGCTTGAGGGACTCCAATCGGAGCCATTGTGTCAATAGCCTGATCCACAAAGCAGTTGGGAGCAGATCCAGTTCGGGAATGTTATTGCAGAGACAGACTGGGATCTGCCTGACAGTCGTCAGATGCAGCCTTTGAGGTACTGGAACGAGTCATATATGTTTTGCGACCGTAATTGGATACGCACCTGCGATCACGGCCAGAAGCAGGCGGGTTTGCACCAATTTGACCAGGGGCTGCCTGGATTGAGCCGAGCAGCAGCAAACTATTGAACACCCGGAGATGCCCTCCCACCGACGCTCGTGCTCCACGCCAATCGAGCTGTGAGCTTATAACCCGTAGACCTGTTGTATCCCATGGCTAGATTTTATGATAAGAGGGCCATCGACCACTTCCTAACCTCCGAAAAGGATGGACTAGGATATTGGCAGGGCGCCCACACCTGAAAAAATAACGATTCGGGTCCTCAGCCAAAGCCTTCGATTAAATGTACACCAGAAAGACATGGACTAGCACAGTCAGTTCACTGACTCATGCGGATTGGTGTCCTGGATCTTAGCAGGGAGAAGGGCGTAACCCAACTCCAACCCAGCGGTGGCCAAGAGAAGGCGTTCAGGACATGAGCGAATGGCACAACAGTAGCAGCAGCCGGTAGACCATCTGTCAGGATGTAGCCACCACTAGCCTCAGCGCACCATAGACTATCCCGTGTGAGATTACATGGTTGGCGGCATCCGATTTGCTTGTCACTGTGGTCAGCCACAGGATGCCTGCGCCTAGTGAGGGATCATGGGTGGCTTGCGCTTCAACATCCACAGCTCCAACCACACACACAGTATGTAGTACAGAGCCGAAGAAATAAGACCGGGAGGCATGCGGATGGGAGCCACGTTCCATCAACGGAGCCGGCCCACACTCCTTCACAGGCAAGCAAGAACGCTGCATTTGGGGATCAATCGCACACAAGGCGGTGGCTGGACCTTAGTCCGCTCCACAGTGAGTGCATGGAACCACCCCGCGAGCCTACCACGACCACAAGGACCGTGCACCCCGTCCCCTCCAGCAACGACCAAGTGTCTCCTGGAGCCAGTATGGACGAGGTAGTGGGTAATAGACAGGTAGGCACCTTGTCAACATGCACATCAAGCGCAGCCATACCTGGGATGTCAAACAACAGCCAATCACTTGAATTGCCGATATCAAATAAAAGATACTGCCGGGGTAAAGAATAACTACTTTCCTTACGGAGCTGAGCTGCTTTAAGGCATCTAAATGCTTGGACACTAGGAAGGATCTTTGTCCGGAGGGCGTAATTCTATATTGATGTTTTAGATCAACGAGTTTTGCTTTCAGCCACTGCTCGTTATCCCTGGATGTTGGTGTGAGTCTATCAAGTTGTCTATATAATACCTCGGGCTGCGCCTGGGTTTCTATCTTGTTAAAGCTCTGAAGGGAAACACAAAATTTTTAACCACAAGACAGTGCCTCAATTTGCAGTTGAGTTAATTGGATAGATGAGAGGTTATTTACATATCTCGATGGATCGAAAGGTAAAATTGACTCAAAGAGTTTGTGGTCGAATGCTTTTCAAGATGTTCAATCCTGATTTTCTAAGTTCCACGCACAGTATCACGGTATACTGTAAGCCGACGTGGAAGGGCCAGTATCTGAAATTTTATGGATTTGTACCCAAACGCTACAGAGGGATTGGTGCAGACCCTGTTTGACAGAGCAAGAAAAATCTGCACGCCAGACACGTTAGATGAAGAGGTGCGATTCCTCACGAACACCCTAGAGGAAAACGGGTATCCGAATTCTTTCATCGCACACTTTAATAAGAGGGAGAAAGAGAAGGTGCCCACCGTGCCAAAACTTAAAGTTACATTGAAGCCACCGTCTAAAGGAGATGATGCAGGTTAAATATTTCAACGGCGTCTGAAATCCGCGGTTGCACGAGAGTATCCCGCGGCGCAAACCGTACTGGTATACACAACGACGGGTATTCCCACACCTTCGGTTAAACCGCAGCTACCTCTGTCCAGCCATTCACACATCGCTTACAAATTTACAAGTAATTGCAAGGCCACTTACATAGGCATGACAGAGCGCCAGTTGCGGGTGAGCATCGCGGAGCATATCCCAGCGTGGGTCAAGAATTACATTTCGAACCTAGCCACGTCCAGCACCCAACTTGCGCAGTAAAAGAACGCAAGTGGTCAACCTTTTAAGACGCCTGCGGCATCCATCGCCCGCCATCTCCTGCCCGACAAACACTGTGTTGACCCCACGCGTATGTTCAGTGTGATCTACGCAACAAACAACACTCGTGCTGCGATACGCTGAGGCGGTCGCAATCAAACAGCTTGACCCTAGTCTGCGTGTGCAGAAGAACCCATTCGTCACATTGGTTCTACCCTGGTAGTAAGCCAATAGACAGCTGATGAATTGACAAAGACCTGTGTGTGCGTGTATGTGGGTGTACGTATGTTGGTGAATTTGCTATTTCAAATCGCTTAACTATTCATGATGCTATTACTTTCACGTGTTCTGTAGTACGCACTTGATAGAAATTTGTCCGGAATTAAATCGTGCGGTGCTTTGGTGTTAATGTTATCTCTACGTATTGCGGGCACAGTAGTTGAAGTGTGTTTCTCACTAGATCATGTGTAATGATGATGAAGAATAGATTTAATCAATGCTGCAGTGGAAAACACGAATGCTGGAAGAGATTTTTGTGTCTTACGAATTTATTGGTGGCACGTGTAACCACGGAGTGTGTGTGTGTGTGCTGTTAGTGAAATTTTTCGATAGCATTCTACACGGTGACCCAGGTGAGGCTATCGCAAACGGCGTACCTGGTCGCGTCACACACTGGATTATCATCATCATTACAGCCTAGTTATAGGCGAGGAACACTTCACTATTGTGCTGCAGTACGAAAAGAAATGAAAAAGAGATAATACGCGTTGCGAAATGTAAAATAAAAACCAAAAAGCAACTGTGATATTACGCATTCTTGGAGAAAAGAGCGATGGGTACGCATGCCTCGCAGCCCATCACATAGGCAAGCTGTTGTTAGCGGCGAAGCACAAAGCTAAATCCTTAGGCCGCAGTTGTAAGCAGTACATGTAAAGGATCAATCCAGAAAACTTGGTGCATTACCGCTATCATCTAGGTATGACCGGAAGCAGTGGAACATTTTACATGTTCCCGAGAGATCTGAGGTCATTCAGAACGGAGTGCCTCTAGTCTGTCAAGACATTTTCCTGCTCCCAGAGTTCCATTAGCAACTCGTGTAAATCATCCGCAAGAGCAGGTCCCTCGAATTTGTAGAGAACTGAGGGAATTCTATCTGCACCAGCGGCCTTATGCAATTTCAACAGTCTCATCTCACGTTAGACTTCTGCGTGTGAGGGCGTATCTAAAAAGACGGCACATGCCCGAAAGAAATAGTGATAACTTAGATTTGTTAAACTGTCTTGCAAAGTGTTTGACGCAACGCTCCAAGCGTTTTAACAAGCTGTGGATCACCTGTTCACTCACGCCGCGTATTGTCTCGTTAACACCAGGTTTCCCACCGTCGGCTTCCGATATCAAACAGAATAAGTTGCGATGATTACCAACGGCAGCGGCTGTTTCCATTTCCGATGCACGATGAGACCACCAGGCTTCGCGGTCTCTCTTCAGGCTAGCATGCAGTATTGAACTGATATTTTGGAGTCGTATTGCATTCGCTTCCAGTCGGAATAAGTCAGCGTGCATCCATAAGTACTAGAGACTGTAGAGACCAAATGACTAGGTTGACAATTTGAATTGCTACATGAAGACATGCCTGCTGATAATAACTTCTGACGAAGATGCGGCCAGTGATCTTCGACGGTGTTTAGTGGACGCTTGATACGCCTTCAGAACACCTGGCTTCGCTAGCTGCTTGCTACCAATGGGCTCAGAGCGACGTTGCCGACGTAAGCCGAAACGCACAAGCAGGTCGATACAGAGGAGAGCGCGATCGGAGTCCACGCTGGTGCTCCAAATCGAGCGACAGATTTGGTCACGGCATCTAAGGCGGTAAGAAATCGCAATTTGATCGATCTGCGTCCATGGATGGCCCGAGGCTAGAAAGCGACAAGTCACCCTCCTGCGGGTGCTATGTCGAAAGTTAATGCTAGCGAGAAAGAGACGAGCACCTTCACACAGGTGAAGCAACCGCTCGCCGTTATCATTAAGGGAGCCATCCAGATGAAGCTCATCAGAGGACAATCTTCCGACTTGGGCGTTTAGATCGCCAACCAACAGCACAGTATCTGTGCTGCTTCTGTAACGAAGAAGATAGTTAAGTTGTTGATAGAAATCATCTTTCACCGAATCAGGACTGCGTAAGCCGCGATGGCAAACAGCCACCATTGGTCCCCGCGCGACTTCGAAGCCTAGAAGGAGGCAGCCAACCTAACGGCGCACATTCGGCTGTAGACAGGGATACAGTCGACCAGGGCAGTTACAGCCCAAAGACTCAAAACAATGCCGATGCTAGCTTGACCGGTATTTGAAGCTGCGTCATCGCCAGACAGGCTCAATAATGGGAGCACTCTAGTCAGGCTAATCAGGGTTGATTGTGCCGTCGCAACACCGTCGAAAAGCAAGACGATATCGTCCGGATAATCAAGATCTAGTAAACTTTCACCAGGCAGCACTTCAAAGCCTACATCGTGAAATTCCGCAAAGAAATACTCCATGATAGAGTCCACGATGAAATCAAACAAAAATGGGGAAATCGGACAACCCTGACGAACGCCACTTGTGGGCGGAAAGTTATTCGATAGGCCACCGTAGACCCTGACGCGGCCTGTAGTACTCGAGTATAGAGCATGTGGGATGTTCACATATTTCGTGGGAACATCTTTCTACGCAAGTATTTCGAACAGAATGCATCGATCGACTGAATCAAACGCACTCTTGAAACTAAGGAACACGGCTAATGTCGGTCTGCGGTATGCGTGGCGCTGCTTTAGCACGTGCCGCAGAGAGAATATATAGTTTATACAACCCCGTCCTGGGCAGAAACCTGCCTGCTCTTCTATAATCCGAGATTCTCGTCCACAATGAGGCGACGAACGAGAATTGAGGCCAGTAATTTTGTCACAATTGGCACAGTCTATGCGACTGCTCTTCTTGTATATTGCCGCTATAATCAATTGACTCCAGTTAGCCGGGACACTTCTTTCCAAATGTGTTCGAATAGGTAGATCAGTGCATTGTAGAGGATCTCACCTCCATCCTTAAACAGTGCAATTGCAAGGGAATTCGGGCCAGAGGCACGAAAACGATTGGGGGCTGTGATCGCGTTTCGGACCTAAGCCTTCGACGGAGGCTTTAAACTAATCGTCCATGGCTGGTTCTGCATCACCTGAGTAGGAAGTGGTCTGGGAACAGGGGGCCAGCTGAACTGATCTTGGGTGTTCCGCCCAACAAGCCATACGGCGCTTCTTTATTGTGCATCGGTGCACCCGCGCTGTCTGATTGTTTCACTGATGCCTAGTTTTCTGAGACCGGTGTTGCGGATCATATGGAAGAGCTTGCGGTAGTTGACTGCTGCTCCTGCCTCCTCCATTTCTCAAGCCCGACTGGCCCACCAGGCATCGTTGTCAGCGCGTAGACTCCGCTTTAGTTCGGACCTAATAGCCCGCTGGTCACATTGTGCTCAGAGATAGCCGGAAGGTTTCTTCTGGATTCCAACAGGTTCACTGACCACCCGGATATCCAGTGACTGGTACGGGGACTATTGATAGTGCCACAAGCAGATGATTATGCGCCGTGCATGGCGGCCGAGATCACATTCCACTAAAACACGGTGTCATCAGGATAAGAGAGCGAAAGTTCGGTACGCAGTGCGTCTTGATAGGTTTGCCTGACCGAAGACGATATCGTCCACCTAATCTAAGTCAGTCGCTCGCTTGCCCGGCAGTAGTTGCAGTCCAAAATTTTGACAACCTTCCAACTTTCGACAGGACGTCTTCAATCGCAAAAATGAATAGCAAAGTGAACATAAACAGCCCTGTCGTACACCGCTACTGACAGCGAATGGAGACGAAAGCTTGCCATAGGCACTCATTCTGCCGGAGATGTGAAGGCAGACTGCCGGTAGAATGGTAGTGTACTTTACTGGGACCCTGTTCCTTAGCAATCACCGGCACGTCACAGGTCGATTAACCGAATGGAATGCAGCATGGATGTTTAAGAATGCAACTATGGAAGACATTTCGTAGAGGTGGTGGTGTCCGAGGATTTGGCGGAGCGTGAAAATTTGAACCACGCATCCACCGCCAGGACGGAAGACAGCTTGTTCTTCCCGGTACTGCGAATCACGAAAAGTAGAAAGGCTATAGAACAGAATGGATGTGAAAAGCTTGGAAACAACCGAAATGAGACTAATCCCCCGGTGATTGGTGCATAAATTACGAGCACCAATCTTGAAAATCGGGACAATAACTGACTCGCCCCAAGAAGGCATATTTTCTTCATGCCAGGTTTGGGATAACAATGAGGTTAACTGGCTGATGATAACGGCGACTCCATACTTGAACAGCTCCGGAGGAAGCCCGTCTGAGCCGGCACCCTTAAACCATCTCAGGTGCCGAATAGAAAGATAAAGTTCCGTTTGACTGGGCGAGTCAAGTGGGATGACTCAGGGCGAGCAGTTTGGTTCGCGAGGCATACAAATGGACAGTGAGAGCCAATGGAACGGGGAGTGAAAAGGTTCGGTTTATCGATCCAAGCGTCTCAGTAAGTTGACAATCGGCGAACCGTCCGCTCCGCAACTAGTCTCACTGACAACAGGCTTTTGTGGCCAGTGGATCGAATGAGCTGAAAGAGCTTGCGAATATTGCCAGATAGGGCAGTGGCCACATTTCCGAAGAGCGCTGAGACCACCAGGCTTAACAATCACTACGCAGGCTTTGTTGAACCTGCCGACTGACAGAATGGCGCACTTCATTATGCTTGGACTTTTCTGGGATGTTCCTGCGGAGATCAAATAGATCCAAGGAGTGCGTGGAGATCTAAGCCTTAGTAGGGAGCTAAGAAAGACCATAGACCAACTGCTTGGAAGAGATCATGGCGCTCTGGATGAACGTCCAGTGTTCACCAATGTCTTGGGTACTGACACGACTGAGTGCATCGAACAGGGAAACTTGATAACTCTGC